GGCAACGCAGGATCTGGCTCTTTCATCAAAACGGGGTGGAAAAACTCCGGTCTGGAACCTTCATCACTCTTTCTGGTATAAACAACTCTCCTGCTAGCCCGGCCCGGATTGCTCCATGCACGTACTCTTGGACGTGAAGATGAGGGCTCCCACATACCTGCAATTTAAGGTAGTTACCACTGGAATCCTCAAACCGTGCAGTGATCTCACCTACTACCTCCACAGGGTTGTTGCAATAAGTTCCCTTCAAATGCAACTGCGATCCAATCCAAATGGCACCTGAGTCAAAAGGAAGGAATGGATTCTCAATCTCAGCTTCCTTGGGGCTCTTGCCGCCCCGGCTTTTCTTAAGGATACCAGGCCTTTCAAGCTCCTTGTTAAGCTTTGGGCTCTTTTTGACGGGGAGTTTAGCAGCTGGCTTCCTTAACACGACCTTTGCAGCAGGGCGTCGCACTGGCATCCCACACTAAGCCTCTGGCGGGCTCCGGCGAGGTTCCCCTCGGAGTTCTACCTAATCCAAATCGCTCAGGACCTCAAGCGAGCGTCCTTTCCTGGCCCAGGCCTCAGCCTGCGACTCCCCTTCCCAAGGGAACCGGCCTCCTGATGCCGGGAAGCACTTCCTCTGCGGGGCGGCGATCTCCCAAGAGGTCCAACGCACGGAACTCCTCCTCCTCACGCTCCTCCTGGGCGGCTGTGTCCTCCTTTACCTCCTCAACCTCACTGCTCCTAGGAGACCGAGATCTCTCCCTTGCACGCTCGTAGCCCGGGCCACCCTCGGCCCACCACCGCTCCTGACGACTGCGGTGCTTAACTCCTTTGCTCCTCTTGGGCCAAGCTCCTTCTCCTTTGCCCTTTGGGCTCTTGCCCTTAACCTTGCCTTTGCCCTTGCCCTTTTCCTTTCCACCCTCCCACCTCGGAGGGGGATAGGCGGGCTCCACAGGCCTCCTCTTCGCCTCGGCTGGGGCCAGGACCAGACGCTCAGCCTCTGGTCTTTCGGCACTCCTGTCCTCCCTTCTAGGAGGAACAGGTGGCGGCACACGAGCACTGGAGCTGCTCTTTGGGGTTGCAGTAGAGAGGATCTCTCTCTGCACCCGGGCCTCGTCTCTCTCTCTAAGAGACGGCCGCCACTCACTGCGGGTCGGCCTGATGACCCCCCTTCGAGGAGATCCTTCCCGAACCTCTCTACGAGGAGATCGGCTAGGCTCCCGTCGGCTGCTGGCTCCCTTCTGCTCAAGGAGCACCAGCACCTGGCTTTGAGCGCCCTGGAGAATCTCCAAAAGGGCACTCAAATCAGATGGCGCCGACAGCCGGGGGTCGAGGCAGAGACTCCTCAATGCCCCGAGCCCCCGGCAGACCCCGCAGTGCCTGGAAGCTCCCTGCGAGGAGACCCTCCACTGGTCGCAGCCCCGGCAAGCAATGCCGGGGCTGCAACTCCTGATCATCAGGTAGGAGGATTTCCCTCCTACCACAATCCTACTGCTGCCTAAGACGGAAGCACTACGAGCAAAAGGGAGGAGCGGCGCGGCGGATTCCTAAACTTCGAACCGTATGTCAAGAAATATAGCCATCTTTTAATATCCATCACTTCCAAATCCTTTCATTGGCTGCCTGTATCTCAAATCATCAAAAGTATTGAATTATAGAAATATAGAAGTTGGACTGGTATTGATGTGCCTGCCATATCATTCACCTTTCATCCTAGCATTTCATTGCCCAAACTGGGAATTGGGCCGCTGGAGGTTTGGGAACTATTTCCTGTCGTTTGCTTCCTCCCACGCCGACGGCGATGCGCGACGGAGCCCGGGTGCGCCAAGCAGCTCTCGGCCCCGCGTTTCCCCGCAGCGCAGTATTGGCCGCGGGGGCTCGGCCCACACGCCGCGGCGCAGAACCGGACGCGCGCCGTCCGTGCCCGCGCTGTGGTCGAAGAGCTGGGGGATGGTCCTCAGGCCCCAAGATCAGTGGAACAGGGTCCTGGGCGTACAACACAATTTCAGCCTGGATCACAAAGATCAAGCATTTGTAATTGTTTAGGCCCTTGTATTGCCCAAAAGGCGTACGAATGTTCATATCCCTCCCCCCCGCACTTAGCTTCCTTTGGCTCCTTGTCAACGCTCAGTTTGGAGGTATTCAAATATGCGGCCTACAAAATTACAAACATGAAGCTGCAAGAGAAAATAACATGGCACCCTTGTATGTCGGCTGATTTAATGATTTCGGAGGCGACCCCGGGTATCATAAGGGGCTGAAGAATTAGAATGAGCTTGTGGGGTTGAACATGATCATAGGAAGTACTCGTTTGGCCCCTGTATGTAGGCATGAATCTTAGTTAGGGACCCATCGGTGGACATCACTCATGGCCATACAGGGTATGAAATTAACAGCTTCACCCCGCAGGTTTTCCCGCCATTCGCCTGTGATAGAGCCCCCCCCTTCAAATGGGTCTTATTTTTGTGGGTTCCCTTAGAAACAAACCCGCCACAAAAATACGACCATGAGAAACCTAGCCCTAGGAAAGCAGAGCCAAAAAGCACCTCTACCCTTAAAAAAAAAAAAAACCTTTCTCTTAATATGGGTATCCACAACCAAAAAAGAAACACCTTTTCTTGGAGAAAAAAAACCATCCGTCGGACTCGTCTCCGGGGTGCTCATCGTTGGGCCACCGGAACTCCAGATCCTCCAAAGAGCGCCAGTGGCGCCAGAGGCTGTCGCTGGTCCTTGGCTTCCCCCCCAAAAAAAAGGTGCCCACAAAAGAACCTGGTTTTGCTTCCTGAAGCCCGTACAAATTCCTTACCAAAAACCGTACAAAAGCAGTACACAGCGGTAGTTCCCGTATGCTTTCAAATCAGCTTCCCGCCAATGGATTTAAGGTACCCGTGCAATTTAGACCAGATATGACTTTTTCCGCATCGGCTTGGAGCCCGGTGGTTTGGTGGCCTTGGTGGCTTCCCATCATTGGTCAAATCCCCAAACCCCCGATCCAAACCACATAGGAGGTACCTGATTTAAGCCAACCCCCTCAAAAATGTCCTGAAAACAGGTCAGCGGACAAAATACCCTCCCCCAGCAAAAAAAAGTGAGTTGCCACCAATCAGCCAGTTGCCACAAGGACCATTTCTGTGGGATTGGTATGGAGCCATGGGAACAGGGAGCAACCCCTCAATACTCCTTTTATAAGGCATAGCTGCTGATGGCTGCTTCCAATGGAACTCCCTCTCCAGCAATGGAAGGTCCAATGGTGCTTGGGCCAGTTCATATTATATAATGGAAACCTACAAAGATACTAGAAACTCTGAGGTTGCTCCGAATTTGGAAGGCCAGACAGTTGGCGTCCGGAAAGCTCCCGCTGGAACGAAAGCAAAGCTGAACTCTATGCTTGGAGCAACTCAATCATCTGGCATCACTGAATCAAAGTGGTCTTCTCAAAAATCATGGCAACACAGCTAAAAAGCGCGGATATCCACACCCGTTTAAGGGCACAATCCTCTTCTACCCTTCACGTACCTGGGGTTGGCGCCATATATTAGCTTGGCCCACATGTGGGGTATACAAACATCTTGTGTTCAGTTGCTGTTTCATCTTTAGTCTTCCCCAAAATATAGTTCATAGTGTTGGCGGAGACCACCTGTAGGGCCTGTAGGGGGACCCCAAAAAAAGGTGTCTCCTTATACTAGTTGTTCTTTTCTCTCTCTCTCTCTCTCTCCGTCTCTCTGTCTCTTTCTCTCTCTCTCTCTCTCTATGTATACATATATGCACAAAACAAAAAAAACGAAAAAACAAAAATAAAACATAGGCAAAGCTTGCTCACCCCATGCGAAGCTTGACCCCACACCTGGCAGGCTCCGCCGGGGCGCTCGTGGTTGCCCGCGAAGGGCACCTGGGGCCCCATTTGGGAAGCCCTGAGCCCCTCGTTTGGGCTGGGTGCATAAGGCATATCCTGGCTATGTGATTTGCGGCGAGTCTCGCTTTCTGAAGGTTGGACCCCTCAAAAGACTGGCGATGTTCCATTTTTTTGTTAGCTTCCCTTCAAAACCTAACAAAAAAGGGAGCACCGTCACGCAAAGGCAGCCCTTGATGGCTATTGCCCTGGCGCAAAGACTGGCCGGTAGTGGAAAAAGGAGCACATTCCTCCAACTGAAAGGTCAAACATCAGATTGCACACAAGGGATGAGAAGGGGCCTGATTTTTGTTCAAGATGAAACCGAAGAAGCGCGAAGCGAAGTTCATCTGAGAATCATTCAAGCCGATAGGAAGGTTTTGCACTAGTGCCAGCTTCCAAAAAAGCCCGCCTGCCGGCTTGCATTGACTGTTCAAAAGCAGGTGTGCCACGGGCAAATCCATAGCGGAACTGTGATCCTACATAACAAATTTAGGTATGGTGACCCCCGAATAGTCAACACTGTTTCCTAGCTAGGTGCAAGGTCGAACCAAAGAGCAGCGCTGCTCCCTGGAAAATCATTGCGACGTGTCCTTGTTGAAGGCTCCACGACCATCCAACCCCAAGCGATGGGAGTTTCTCAACACTTGGATCCCCAAGTAATGTGGGCTTCCCTTAGATCAATCCGACCTGAATGACAATCCAAACCCGGTACAAAAATGGTCGACCCAGAACCATGTAAAGAACTAAGAAAGCGGCCGCAGCTATTTATGGCTGGGATCGTCCCTTACCAACCTTCACTTACCCGGTTTTGAGCACGTGGCTCACCTGGTGTTCCCGAAAGGCCACCAAGAAACTCACCAATTGCACGACACACGGAAGTGCAATCCCCAAGTGCCACCCCTGTTCCCACGGCGCTCGGTTGTCTCGAAGCAGAAACCGTGATATGGGTGTGTCATTCATTTTTATGGCCCCCAACATGGCTTCAGTTTTCCTGCTGGTTTCCCGCAACCCAGAAAACGGGGTACCCTCAACAAACAACCGACGACCAATCTTGACATTGACTCGCAGCAGTTTGCTTGGGACGGTCGAGCCTCGGTGGAGCTGTCGGCTTGCAGCACAAAGATTACTCCTGAAGCGCTAACGTGGGGTTAGGCAAACATACAAATCGTCCATTTGCAAGTTCTGCAATAACTTTAATCTCGGAAATAAGGGATCCCAAAGGTACCTACATCATGGTGAGCTCCTTTTTCTTTCAGGAGAGCTCGAAACCCATTAAAACAGCCAGATCCAACCCGTTTCTGGCTTGAATTACCCAATCCCAGTGGCCAAGGCAACTTTCGACCAGGCAGCATCTTGTTGTCGTGTTCGGAGTGAGTGATCCATCTGGGGTGCCCACTCACAGGGGTAAGCGGATTACCAACTTGCTGATAGGGCCTTGGCCTATGCATATTTGCAGAAGGCCAGTTGCCCGGGCACATGCCAATGCTATCCACCCTCCACACGTCCTTTCCCATGTGCAAAGGTCCGAGAATTCGGATTTGCACTTCTCACTTCCCAAGTCCCTAACTTGTTGCTTTACACTGCAAAGTCGTTTCAGAGACGGAGCTCCAAACCTCCCCCAACCCAAGCGCGAGCCTTTGAAGAGGCTGTGCGGCAAATGGATGGCGGTCTCGAACCAGCCCTGCAGCCCTTGAGCGCAGTGAGGTTGCGGACCAAAGGCGGAACGCCTGTTGAACAACACGTTTCATCAACCGAAGCTGCCAGATCTGCCAGAAACCCATTTATGCGCCTCAATGATGACACACCAAAAGATAAACCGGAAAACAAGGGTCAGCTGTTTCCCAATACAAAGGCGATCCTTCCCCCACCAACTTACTGCTCTGAGTCATACTCATCTGGTATCCAAGAGATCTACCCCATGTCTGGTTAGTTTTCTCTCGCCTGTTGCACACCCGGGTTAGTCACTAGCAATCAAAGAGATCTGTGGGCCCCACTGACCTCAAACTCATCTCTGGTGGCCATGGCGGAAAAGAAAGCCGCTCTTTGTGTGGTTGATGTCCAGTGGCTCCAACAAAAAAGAAGAGAAACAAATAATAATAATAATAATAATAATAATAATAATAATAATAATAATAATACTAATAATACTAATAATACTACGAATAAAAATAACAATAATAATACTACTAACAATAATAATAACAATAACAGCAACCGTAATAATAACAATAATCATAATGGTAATAATAAAATTATCGAAAAAGGAAGCAACCCAACTGGAGCTCCAGTTGGCAAACCAAAATCCATGAGACCACCAGACCCTCCGTCCAGACGTAGGCGCTGGTGGGCGGGAGCGGCGCTTGGGATCCGGTCTCCTGGGCTGCTGCGGGCTGCAGCTGACGGAAACCGTTGAGTAACTCAGATGCCCAGTGGATTTCCATGGGGAAAAAAAGAAAAGAAGCAATCCATTTAACCAAAAAAAAAGAGAAAAAAAAAGGTCGCCACTGGGCAACTGGGGTAAGGGGCTTATGGCCACTTCATGTTGGGAATGACTCTTTCGAAGACTCTAGAACATTGGCATGGAACCCAACAAACACGTATTATTGAATGCATGCGCTCCCTGGACTCTCCCGAAGTGTCAGCTGACGATTCAGATAAAACCCAATCCGCGCTCACGTTTCCAGTCATCTCCTTGTAAAGGGCCGCATGTATAGGAATTTGCTGGGTAATCCCCATTTCCCAAGTGTATTTTGGTGAGTGTGCGTTAGTGCATGGCAGTAAATATGGAGCGCTTCTCAATTTGAGGCACGCGGGAAAATGTAGGGAGATTCCGACGTGTCCCTCCCAAATGAACCATATACTATGGGTCATTTTGACCAAACCTCACATGGCAGTTTGAACGGGCCTGTGCTTTGAGGCTCCCTGTTTTTTCAAAGGAACACCAAACAGACAAACACCGCTGTGAAGGGCCCGAATCCCTACTTTGATTGCTTTGGCTTTCTGGGCATGTGTGAAAATAGGACATGAAAATAGGCGGACCCCAACAGATCCCGGAAATTTCCGGTTTCCTGTTGGCTTCCCTTCAACCCCTAGGGTCGACCCGTCGACCCCCCCCCCTCCGCTCCTCGAAGAACTCTCTGGTCGCTGCCTCCCAGACGTTCGCATCCGCCTCCTGGGACTCCAGGAACGGAAGCGAATAGCCAATTGGGTCGGTTTGGTGGCGGGTCCTTTCCCATCCCTGGATACAAAAACCTGAAATTTTCCACCCAATCCAAACCAAGTTGGGGTTACCTGATTTAAGGTGGGATTCAAGGGAAACAGAAAAAAGAAAACCATCACTGAAAACTCATGAGCAGGAATGTCAAAATGAAAGCCGGAGCAAAATGAACACATCCGACGCGTACTTTCGAGCTGTCGGGTTATCTAGCGCCTGCGTGCATGTCCCCTCACAATGTGAAGTTACCAAATGTGAAAAGGCAGGCTGTGTTTGAGACACTGATCTCACAAGGCCTGATTGGCCGAAACAAAAAGATGGGTAGTGGGTAAGATGGGTAGTGGGTTCCGAGACAAAGGATAGGCTGGCGTTTGCCTGGCTCAAATCCCGGGGTCTCTAATACTGCAATGTTTACACTTTGACTTGGTTTGAAAGCTTGAAAGCTGGGCTTTGGACAACTATGTTTGACGTTCCTGCAAAGTGGCGCAGCTGTCGTGATCTGATCAGCCGAAAAAGGTTGCTTCGGTGGAGCCAAAAAGCAGCCTGGATCTCACTTCCTGAGTGGATGGGCCAAACAAATCTTGCTTTCACCACCACAAAATGGTCTTGCAAAACACTTTGAAGTACAGAAACTCAGAGAGTGAGAGATGGATCCTTAAGTCCGGGCTCTTTGGTGGTGTCGTTCTCATCGCCTAGACCTGCTGCTGCCATTTGTTCAGGTACAGAGTGGGAGCTGTCATTTTGAAGTTTCCGAGCGATAGAGCTTACACACGATATACTATTTACACGCTAGGTAACATACGGAAACAAGGCCGTGCCCAAAAGATAGAAATGCGAAAGGCGGCTGCCAAAGTCGAACTATAGCTTCGACCGACAGGCCCTGTTCACACACACTAGGGCTCATGACCCTCCAGCACAGACCCCGGACCCTCCAATAGAGAACTCCAATAGAGAACAAAGTCTCAAAAGGCCCATGAACAAACCTTTTGACGGGTCATTTGGAAAAGAAAGCCACGAGCCAAAGAAAAAAGAAACAGCATTTATCTTGCCAACTGACATGGAGCCTTACTGCAGGTTCCCAGTTTGTTAATGGGGACAACAAAGGAACGGCCAACTAGCCAAGGAGGTGGGGCACCACTGGCAGGATCAAAATGCCCAATGATGATGGAGACTGAGCAGACGTTCCACCCAAGTGGCAGGGTCCTTAAAGGATTGCTTGAAAGAACTCTCTACATCAGCTCACGTGATGCTTCCACTGGCCCAAATGCATCCTTGAAAGGGATTCTGTGGAACCAGAGGTCTTCCAGCATTCCGTGAGACTCACTGGCCGAAGCTCGCCTGGGACCCCCCCAGCTCCCTGCCTCGATCATCCCACCCGGGAGCTGCCACAGCCCGCTGCGGCTGCCTTTCACCAGGAAGAGCTCGTCGCCTCCGCAAAGGCCCCGGGACCCAGCAGGGGTCCCAGTGGCCGGATGTCCACAAAAACCATGGCGCCGCGGTCATTTTTTGGGGGGGTAGGTGTTTGGGGAACCCCTCCAAACAACAAGGTGCAAAAGGGAAGCAAGCCACTGGAGGTCTGGTTGGATCGGCGAGATATGTTGGCAGTGGGCCAGGGTATCCCTGCAAGTGGGTTTTATACAAGCTGGGTCATGCTTAGGAGGATGTCTTCTGTACAAACAAACGTTGCACCCCGCAAATTTTATCCGAAGGGTTCTATTGAATCCGTCCTCATAGCCCTAAGCCCCAAAACCAACCGACCCAAACCTCGCAAGCCAAGTGACAAGGGTGCCCGCAACAAACCAACCTCGCGCCGCGCTGATTCCCAATTCATGGGTGAGCTCCCTATGAACTTGTCCAAACCCATGGTCACATGAGTCTTTCTCAAAATAGGGGTTCCCAAAGTGCCACCTAACAGGGGTGAACCATTTAGAGAAGAACACACACCTTAGACCGTGGGAAGGGTGGCCCGTTGTTGGCCACGTGACTGACTGACCGGCTCGCTTCGCTGGACCCACCAGGAATTCCCAACTCAACGAAACGGACAAAAACCTAACTCCCAGTGAACATACCCTAGGGGAGCAGTCAAAGTCATGAGTTGTTCAGATGCAAAAACCGTTTTGAGGGCAATTCGTGATGTTGAACCCGAAGGAGTAGTGGTCAACTCTGGCCCAGACAAGTCTGAGCCTGTTTACCTCCTTAAAGTATACCAGTCCATCTCAGGGAGTGAGCTTTGCTAACCAAAATATATGCTTGTCTCCGCTCCACATTGCGAGAAACACCAACAAGTCTCTATCTCAACCACTCAAATGGTCTTGCCCCGACAAACAGACTAAAGTCCACTCACCTCGGTGCTTCGCTGGTGCGAAACAGCGACGCAAACCCATGTGGCAAGAGACGTCGCTCGCAGCGAAAACGCGCGGGAAAACCCGGAGGCCCGCCGTCCTCGGAAGAGGGCCACAAAGGCGGCCGAGACCTGGTCCTGGTCCCGAAGCCTACTTGGATGTTCGTTGCCCATAAAAGAACAGAAGAATACATCCCGGGTCTGTCTCAAAAACAACCATATGGAAAACACTAGGGCCCACAGCGTCTAAAAGAACAGTTGACCCAATGTGGATGATAACAATAGGTAAATCTTGGGGGCTACGTATATGGACCCCCATTGTTTTAACGGTGGAAACTGAACCCCGGCTGTTCCTGGATGTTCGTTGCCAAGCGGTTACCCACTTGAGTCACAATCAAAACCCAGTAGTAAAACGGTGGACCCAGAAGCATGTAAAGAATAGAAAACCATTTATGGCTGGGATTGCCCCTTTCTACCCTACAATTACCCGGCGTTTTGAGTGCGACTCACTTGGGGTTTGTAACGCCTAAGAACAAGCCTAGCCCCGCTGAACGTGGGACATAACGGATACCAAGAACTTACTTGGCGAAGCAAAGACCCAAGTGGCTCAAGGGTTTTCCCTGAACCATGGAAAGCAATCATATCCTATTGAACCCTTGCGGCAATAGGAAACCCGGTAAAGGGTTCCCAGATTTTTGACCCAGCCATCCTGTCCCTGGGTTCCCTTTTCAGGTTGGTTCGCAAAACCTTCCAGTGGGTCCCCCTAAATGGGAGACATTCCGCAAATGGGTTCAACCAGAAACATATATCAGAAGTCTTGGCACCTTAAAAGCTCAGTTGCCCTAAAGACATGGACACGAGAGGTTCAACTTATGGAATCTCGAAATATTGACAAAAGGTAAACCAGGCTGAAAGCTCGATTCGCTTTGAGAAAGGGTTCCACAAATTGGAAAGACATGGTTAAACCAGATCTGGGTTCCATTTTATATAATATGCCAAACTCTCCCAACGCAGACGTCCAAATCTGGGTTAGCACCCAAAACGGCTTCCCAAAGCAGACGTCGCCTTCGCCGACTTCGCGCCGACCAAAACCAACAAGCTTGTGCCCATGGGTCAAAATCCCGTACCCCCAGTGAACATCAACCAATCCAACCACTAAAATAGGTTCTAAAATGGGTGGTGAATTCACCTACCAACCAAAATGGGATACCAAAACAGTTTTGGCCCACGGCCTTGTAGTGGCGCACCAGCGGCAGCTCCGCTCGGAGCTCCTGACGGAGTGCCACTACTCCCCCCTCAGCAGAAACACAAAACACAAGGGGGGGGAGGCTTTTTGTTTGTTTCGGTAGGTGGCTTTCCTCAGTGGCATGCTGACAGGCTACATCCACTTTTCCGGTGTCTCCAGAGCTCTCTGGACAAGGGGCTTTGCACCTGGCCTGCAAGCAAGTTTCGGGTCCATGCGACTAGAAATGGGAGGCTGCTAAAAAATCAGGGCGTCTCAAGGCCCCCCCCCAAAAAAAGAAAGAAAGAGAAGAATAAGTCGGTCCTGGCCATGCCTACGAGCAGGATTCCTCGCCTTTTGGCCCATGTCACAAAGTCCCGTGTCAAAAGTATGGACCTCAGATCAGTTCCTCAAAAGCCCGAAAAGCACAATGGCGTCCCGGTGGCCTAGTGACCCTCTTAGCAAACAAATTGAAACGCTTCTTGGGGCTTCCATTTCTGGGAAACCCACAAAACCCTACGGAACTTGGATGGAACCCACTCAACAACTGGGGTAACCTACTTGATGATAACATCGGAAAAATCCGGAGGACCCTTCTAGTTAGGGGAATAGATTAGTACCTCACTGGAGGAACCACAACTGAGTAGATTCCAGCAATTTGCGTCAACACTTCACGCGCGTTTTGAATGTACGTCGCGGGCTCATTTGTGAGGAACACAACACGAGGAACACGCTACATGTTCACAACGAACCTGGAGCACTCACGTTGGTGCTTTTTTCAGTGGCCAAGCAATTACTCAAAGATTCTGCCATGATCATGAGGCAATTTGGTTGATAGTACTCCATATGTTTATCCTAATTGCATACTGGTGCTCAGTACGGAACGACGGAATGAACCCAGGGGTCCCCTTAAAGGACACCATAGGGATAGGGGATGGTTTATAAGGGTCATTTGATTTCTCATTCCCTGCCGATGGCACCAGCAAGATCAGGGGCCTCTCCGAGGTGCAGACAAACTCACCGTACCTCCCGGCGCCCGAGCGAACCGAACGCGACCGCCGAACCAACCAAACGGCTCCCGCGGCGGCGCCACGCGCCAGGCTGACATGGCGCAGAACGGACATCCGGGGTATGGGGCGGCAACACGGCTGTGTTTTTGGCTCGGTACCAATTTGGGGGGTTTCAAGGCAACCAACAGGACCACAACATGTTCCTCATATTAGAGGTTCCCCCATGTTGAGACAAACTCCTATGAGTTTGCAAGGGTTCCATCTAAGGCTTTTTGGCTCCTTACCTCCTCCTGACAGTTCTTTAAGTGGAAGGAGACCAAGAAGCAAGCGTTACCGCTGGTAGTGGGGGGGGGGGGTAGGGGGGGGGGAAATGAGTTGGGCCAAAGTCCACGGTGGCTTGAGCCGCAAGTCTCCGCGGCGCGCCCGCGCGCGCACGCAGATGCACTAAACAAAGCACACAAGAGAAGAATCATCGGGGTGGGCGCAACACATGTCCCTTCTGAAATATTTCTCGGTTGGCTGCATTCAAACCGCCACTGTTGCGGCCATCTTATATATATATATGTATATAAACTGAATTGTTTGGTCGCAAACCAACACCTGTTGTGAAGTGGCTATGATTTGCCCAGAACAATCACACATGCTGAAACTGCCCGGATTCCCTATGTAAGGAAACTTCGCCGGGACCAAACGAATTCATGTCGACCCCAGATTAATGAACCTGGCGGCTGAATGGAGGGTCCCCCAAGAGTGAAGGATTCCCAAAACAATGGGACACTCTCCCACTTGGAATCCCATGTACGAGGCGAATTAACGTGTGCATGAGCAGCTCATCACCAGTCCCCCAGGGATAAGAATCAGCCGCAGCCAACTGCTAACTCCACAGACCGAGAGTGGTTCCAGGATGTTTTTGCACTTTACTTGTTAGCTTGGTAACAATTTCAAATGCTTCCCGTTGTCTTCCACAACCATACTTTACCTGACGGGTGTTGAACATGAGGTAGCTGTTAAACCTGTTCCGGGAAATTCTGCAAAGGGTGCGGAAGAGAGCGTCAACGTTGGTTGCGAACAACGCTCTTACCACCGATTCGGGGCAAACAGCGCGCCATTTAATTCTCCCGGAAAGGGATAGTAGTCTGATCAAACACGCCGATGACAGGACTCTTCCCCAATAGACTGTGAGCCCGTAGCTTTCAGGACTTTGAACGGCCCAACTGCGTCCCATGCACGGTCCAAGGCTTTTTTTTCCTCAACCTCGTCACATAATTTGTGCAGACCGGCCAGTGTCCAGGGAAAGGACATCGTCGTTTTTGCTCGGCAACCATGTTGAAAGTGATTGCACTGGTCGCCTGGTGGCTATTGCCCCCTGCCCAAAGTTTGCCTTCTTCGGCTGGTTGTAAAACAGGGCTCCCTATCTTTCCCCCCTTTAAACATCTCTCCACCAGGAAGCTCATCTAACTGTGGCAACCTGCAAACTGACAAATTTGGGTGGCTCGTCTTTCTTGGGGTTGGCACCCGCTTTTGATTGGTTTTAAAGGGAAACCAAGTGGGAAACCCTCAAAAGTTGGAAATCCGACCCTGCGCTTGCCCAGCTGAGGTCCGCTTCGGAACCCGGCAAAATCAGAGCCAGCCTGACCCAGAGGGTTGTTCAAGGGGACCTAAGGATGTACTTGGGTCAACAACATTTAGATGACATCCTCACAGGGTCAGGGACCGGAGAAGTCACAACGAAATCCCGGTGCAGGGTCACAACCCTTTAGCCATGGTAAGTCAAAAGCGCGGATCTCCGCACCTAGTTCTGACAGGACTGGCCCTACCTTTCATTTGATGGGGCCAAGTAGAATTAGAATGGTGCCAACTATGGCTTTTAGCGGGGTACCATGAAACCAAGGGCAGAATGATGCGTAGAATGATTGGCTTAGCCTAAGGAATCTCATTCACTGACCATATGGCCATGGGTCAAAACCCGGTACCCCCAGTGAACATCCCAATCCCCACCAAAATAAGCTAAAATGGGTAGTGCACCTATCCCAAAATGGTGCCAATGGCTTTGAACCATGGCCATATCAACACAGAACCTTACCAGCCCCAGCCTTACCCCCTCTCTCGCCTGCTCGAGTTGCTTCTCCCCGTCCCCCACCAAAGGCGGCAGGTGCTTCCGCAGCCCGCCGTTCCACAGCGCCTCGCGGGACGACGGACGCCGCGTGCACGGGATGCTCACTCTCAAACCAAATGCAATGCACGTATGCCCAACCAAGATCCATACTAATGAAAGTTTGCAGGAATCTTTGAGCTCTTGAACCAACTAGGTTCAAGAGTCGTTGAACAGCAACCTTGTGCATGCTGGATAAAGGAATGAAGGCATTCACCAACCACCAGCACGCAAAATCTCACAAAATTCGTCTCTGACACTGGTGGACAAGGGGTGCAGCAAAGCAATTGGATTCCCTATTCCCCTGATCAGACCCTATGAGAAAACCAGCCACCCCTCCAATACAATTTCCATGGGCGACTGGCATTGGAAGGCGTTGCGTCACATTCCAATCTTTGGGGGCCCCGCCTTGGGTTCCTTCCGCTGATCTGCATAGAAGTACAGTACTTGAATGACCGCACTGTGGAAGTGATTTGGTTCGGCTAAGCCAAGTGCAGGATTGGTCCCACTTTGTGGACATACCTGGGGATATCAATCACTGAGTAAGTGGGGGGCGGTCATCCAACCCGAACCCCCAGTGGCCAAGGGAAAAAGGAAGTGGTCGTTTTTTTGGTAGTTGATTTTAATTTGAAGGAACTCCCCTTTCAAATAAAGAGGACAAAGGGAAGCAAATTGCGCAAAAGGGGTGCTGATCGAAGGGTTCTAGCAGGCTGAAGGGTAGCAGGTTTCGATTTTGTTTCTCCTCAGCCACAGTTGCCTAGTGGGCCCAGAATCTACTTTTGCCCGGGATGAAATAACATGACAGCGCACCAGCTCGTCTTGTTGCTTTCTGGATTCTCGAAGGCCACTCCAAGCAATCAACTTTGGCCACGGGGCAAAATTGAAGCGGCCACCCTTGGTTTGTTGGCTTTATGTCCGTCCAAGTGCTTAAGCTTTCTGGGGAAAAGGAGAACATGTGTGCAGTACTGAAATCGATTCCCCTAAAACAGGGGATTTTAAAGACATGAATTTCAGCAAATGAAAGTTTCAAAAGGGACTGGCCGTTCCCCCCCCCCCCGCCGCCGCGAACAACAGGCTCACCTCAGGACCTCTTGCCTTGGCTTCCCTGGCTTCAATAAGCAGCTGGTCTCGGTTCTCGACCCCAGCAATCCAAATCACCAACTCCGTGTTTCTCAAAATTGGGGAAGTGTCCTTGTGGTTCCCTTTCAAACCATCCAAAACGGGGTCCCCTATTTTGAGAAACACCCCAAATATAATCTGAAAACGGGGTTTATATATATATATATGTTATATAAACATGCTGTGTGTTATATATATATATAACTTATATCACCAATGTTTTGTTGTTTCAAAGCAACAATGTTTTTTTTCTGAATAAAAACCCAAACCTGAAAACCTTAAATCCTGTCCCCCCCTCGCCTCTCCGGGCTTCAGAAGGGCCTCGGCGGCTGCAGGTTCCACCGAGGGCAGGAAGGTGAACTCCACCTCGCCCGGTTCGACCGCGCAACGAGCCGTGGGTCCAGGTTTCGGGGAGGGGAATGACGAGCTGAACCATCCAACTGGATCTTCACCAACCAGAAAGGGGGGTGCGCATCTGGTGCTACTTGCTCGAGGCAGGAAATGAGGGAACCCCGAGCTGAACCGTCCCTTGTGGCTTGTTTTGAGATCCCTAGAGTCATTGTCACAACTCCTGTTGATTCAGAATGGTGCACCAGCAAGTCTATCAACCTATAGATGTGGGTGAAAAATGGGGTAACCCCAAAATGGGTTAGTTACCCTGGTAAGTGGAAAGTTCGGGACGAAAAAAAAATCCTGCGGTCCAATTCCTGGTTGAATTTCTTGACCCATACCCAATATTAGACTCAGTTTAGGACTGAACCCAATGAAGCCCAATTAAGAACCCCCTACCAAAACGGCGCTGCTCACCCCAGGGTCAGAGGCCTTTGTTTGGGTAGATTTTAACAAGGTTTCAAGCACTCCGGCGAATCCGCGGATTTTCATGGGAAAACGGGTAGCTTGGTTTGGTTGGTTTTGGACGGGTTTAACCCACTCCAAAACCAAATCAGCGGATGCCCCATTTGAAAATTGGGCCTTTTGGGGTTGCTTGTCGGGCTCTCGCCTGTGAAACAAAGGAAAAGGTGTTCCTGTGGAATCTGGAGGAAGCTTAAAGAACTTGTTGCTACCAGGAAAACCCACGACAGTTCTTTCAGGGGACCCTGTTTCCAGTTTGTGCAGGGAAATCCGCCAATTACAGTAACAGAGTTGCAAGTGACACTCGGCATGCGCCTTGTAGGAGAAATTGTGATATGGCTGTGGCTCAAAATTAAACAGCTGGGGTTACGCAGGTTTTGGTCCATGTTTCCATTTACCAGGGTTCTATTTGGGTACCGGTTTTTTGAGCCACAGCCATATTGCAGAATGGCGAAATCCATGTTTGCTTCCGCTACGCAACGGCGTGACACCCACAGACTCAACAAGAGTTTGGTTGACGAGCTGATTCCACAAGAGTTGTCAAACAAGTTCACTTTCTCACTGGCTGAGTGGATGGCCAAAAAAAGAGTCTAAACTTTATATTTACCACTCAAATGGTCTTCCCAAAAAGTTTAAAGTTCATGAAGTCGGGAAGTGAGCTTTGCACAATACCTCCATTTCTGACACAGTTTGCGAAAACTGAGACATGTCCCGAAAGCCGCCCGACTCCGAAGACCTCCAGTGGATTTCCACGAAGAAAGGGGTTCTCTTTCGCTTGGTCGTTGGTTTTTGATGGACGCCCCCAAGAACGAGTAAGCACCTCCCCCTCAGCCGGAGCGTCGCCTGGGGGAAACGGAAGCAATACTGGAAGTTTGGGAAACTTACATGAACATTTCATCTAGTGAAAACCCCCCATTCCCTTTAGGAATTCGGTGAGTGTATCTAATGTCACTGGAGTAGTCACCCCCACTGCAGGCAACATGCTCACCATTGCTTACTTTTTTTGAAACGCGCCTAAGAATACGGCTGTGGATAATCTCTCTTTCTGTAGTACCAAAGTGAGATTCCCATCCCTATATGTACCTTAGCCATTTGCAGAAGATTCCATTGGCATCACAAAAGGCCAGAAACTGCAAAAAAAAACCTACAACCATGATCTTTTGCGAGCAAGGACAATGACTTCGTGCGTGGCCTACCTGAGCAGCCTCGAGCGAATGGCTCCAACAAAATGAGATCGGCACGTCAAGCGCTTAAGCGTCCTGGCAGGACAAAACGGGGTGTTGGCCTTCGCACGGATGAACTTCTCAATGTCGAGTCCGGATGAATAAACCTTGCTTGCCCAGTTCCCAAGAATCATAGTCGAGTACGTGTTTTTTTTGAGGACACCCGTTTCAAGGTTGGTTTCAACAGGAAAGACGCCATGGGGTTCCCTATGTTTGGCACCTACCCAAGTGGAGGGGCCTTGAAAACGACTGCCGTCCCAAACCCCTCCCATCGAATTCCAAGGTGCCAGGTTCTGCGCACCCTCGCCGCCGTCGCCTTTTCCTGGCACACGGTTTTTTTTGGAGGTTCCTCCTGGGCGGGCCGGGTGGGCTTCTGGGTTGTATCAAGTGGCGCAAGGCTTCCGTCCCAGCCCGGGGTTGGAAGGGCGGTCCGCTTGTGTCCAGATTTTACCAACCACAGCTGGGCAAGTGAGGAAGAATCCTACCCAGGGAGCCCAGGACTCGGAAGTTGTGTTTGCAATGGGAATTTTGGAGCAGGCTTCACCGCCTACAGCGAGCTTTTGTCGGTGATACCTGCCTTTTGTGGGGCCACATTTGGGGCTGTGCTTTTGAGGGTTCCTTATGACCCAGAACCGCACCTCCAGGAGCTTCCTGGGAGCAATGGGTGTTGTAATCCAAGACCGCCAGCTCGAGGACGGGCTGACTGCTGAAGAGGTTGTGCGACCTCAATGAGATCTGCGTGAGCCACGGTCAGAATCAGCTGCTCTTGCAAGGTACCCATTTAACAAGAAACCAAAGGGGAAATCACCTATTCTTGGGCTCTCTCCGACACACAGCCAATGTGTGGTTACCACAAAGCACAAGTCGTGTGGCGAGTGAGAAAAGTGGAGTGGAGTGGAGCGGAGTGGAGATAGTGGAGTTGTGCAGCGCCAGCGGTCGGTACAGGGCTGCTCAAAGGTGATCAAACTGCAAGGGTAAAGAAGGGCTGGTTTCCTTACCGGTTCGTTGACCGCAGCTTACATCTTTACTTGGACTTGTCGCAACTTTTCTAAACACTGAAACTCTAAACGTCTAAGGAACCGTACTGGGAAGCGCCAAGTTTCCTTTCGCGCCCCACGAGGGCCCAAATTTCTACCCCACCGGTTGGCTTTTCAAGGGTGCCGCTTGTCGCACTTACGAAGTTCTTTGGGAATCATGATCCAAATGGCAAGCTGCTAGCAGGTGACCAGGGGAAACAATGCATGGCAAAACCTAGGGGGTAAGAAACCCCGGTTTCCTGCTACAGTGGTCACTGAAAGCACTGCTTGCGATTTGGGGGGTGCTTTTTTGGGGTACCCGCAAATGTTGGTCTTCCCGTTGGTTTCCCTTTACAGCCACAATGGACAAGCCTGCCATTGGAATATGCAAGGGACTCTGCCACATTCTAGATGCCCAACTATGGATTACAGCTGAGCGCCTCAAAAAACAACTCTCGGTTCTACCAACATGGCTATAAAGGATACCAAAGGCTCTGCTGTCCCCCGTATTTTCCAATTGGAACCCAACCACCCAAAACGGTGGTTTGTTTACATGCGCTTTCATTAAACATACATAAACATACGATCCCAACTAAACCAGTAGAACCCCCCACCCAAATGGCCCTTTTGGACATCAGCTTCAGGCCGATTCGCTGCAACACAGACGAGGTGTCAGGCGCCGGGCAGGACGAGCAAGAAGAGGAGCAAGGTGGCCGGAGGCATCAGCAGCCTTGGTGTTTTTGGTTTTCCTTTTCAGACCGCAAGAGCTGGTAATCCTCCAACATCGATCCAACCGGAGTTCACTGAGCCGCCAAGACGGCGCCCGCTTGCGTTTCTCCCCCCTTGGCCCCTGACTGGCACAGCAAGCCCTTCTTGTCCCGCAGCCCATAGCGCACCCGCTTCTGCAGCAAGGCCTGGCGCGGCAAGCGGCGGTTCAGCCGCGGAAGAAAACGTGAGCGGCGAGTCGATGTGAAGAGTTGGAACCACCACTGCTTGGATTCCCAGGCCCAAGCATTCAATTTCATTCGGGTACTATTGTTTGCCCAGACAATGGCCACTTTTTTTTTCCGAGTTGATTCCAGGATTTGGATGAGGCGGGTTTATTGGTGTCGTGGCAAACAAGGCGAACGGGGATGCTCATTTGGGACACAGCCATATGTGGGTGCTTTCCACACTGTTTCCGGGAAAAAATCTTTCCAAACATGATTCAAGATGGGGGCAAAGAGATGGGATGGCTCCCATCTTGGCGGACGCGGGGTCGACCATGTGAGCAGTCAAGACGAGTCCCCTGGAATTTGTGTGGTTCAAAAACAACCATGAGCTTGTCCCCCCCATGTTCACGGAACCTCCGAGTTCATATCTGTATTGGTGTTTTGGGGATCTGAACCCCTGGTTCGTGTGAAAGACAAACACAAAGCCACCAATTCGAGGGAAGCTGGCTTTGGAACTTCGGCAGCTTCCTCCCCTTCATTTCCTCGCCAAACGACCTGACCCTCAACTCAAACCACCCGTTTGGGATTCGGACCGCTTCTCTAGGGGTTGATTCCCCATTCCTTTCAACCATCGTTCTTTCCCAAAACCGGATCCGTTTTCCCTGGGTTTCCGGAGGCTTCCTAGAAAGACTCGGATCCCTGGGTTCAGAATGGACCTGGAAGGCACGGATCCCTAGAGCTTCGCACGGCCGGATCGCGCTCGATCGCGCTCGATCGATCTCCTGGGTCTGCCGCAGCACCGAGGCGCCGCCACTGCCGGCGCTCCTCTCCCGCGCGGAGAAGACCTCCCGCGCCTGGACCTGCCATCGACGAATCGACGAATCGCGCGCGAGAGGAGCCATCCGCTTTTTCTGGGACCGGAGTTCGTTGGGGCCAAAACGGGGCGCCCGTGCTTGGATGGATTTTTATGCGCCGCCCGAAACCAGGGAGCTAGGGCGCTATATCTTCCACTTTCCATTCTTTCCGGGGATCCTTCTCTCTGGAAAACCTGCAGAAACCGAGGAAACGGCCGGTTTTTGAAAAGAACGATGGTTGAAAAGAATGGTTGGAGTCAACCCCCAGAAGGAAGAGAAACATGAGGATACCAATTGTACACATTGGCCTTTGTGGTTTTTGATCTTTCAGGGTTGGATTTTGCCATTTAGGTGTGGATTGGAGAAACCATTTGTTGCCGAATGTACTCTATCTGCCAAGCAGCCTATAAGTGACATCAGGACACACCCAACTTCTGTCACCCTATAGTGGTTATGGGGAAACAAGTGAGAGCCGGGTTTCTGTAGGAAAATGCAGAGCCCCTCATGTCCGGCTATACTGCGAGACATGAACCGATATTTTGACCAAACCTCAAATTGACCACGATTCACTGCCCGAAAAGAAGGAATCCCTAGAAAACTGTGTGAGCTCAATGTAAACCCCGAAGCGGTTAGCCCATTGTGAAGCGGTGTGTTTCAAAGGGAGCCCTACCACCCTCTGGCAATGTGGTCCTTTTGACCCTTTGGGGCCCAGCTGGGCACCTCGAGGCATTTACACTTGGTAGGCCATACATGTTGGTGGGTCTTCTAATGGGTAGGGTTGTCCTGTTGGTTCCGTTTAAAACTGTACCCAGAAAGGGGTACCCCGAAAAAGGCACACTGCGGGCCTCAAACCCTTGTTCCCAGGCATGTTCAAGCATGGAATCCCTCGAAAAACCTCTGCTAGGTCTTCCAGTAGAGGGGTTAGAATAAGGGTACCCTTTTTTCTGTAGTCTATTTTAGTAGGGGAACCCTCCCCCAAAAAGAAGGTAAAAGGGCACTACTGCCTCTCTAAGGAATCCCCATACTTTCGAGGGCCAAAACCATTTCCCCTAACAGGATCCAAGGAAAAATGGTTGGTGTGAAACCTTCTTGCAAGAAAATAAGCAAAGCTCTCTAGGTGTTGGAAACCGAGTCCCGCCATGGGGAGGCCACTGCTTGAGTTCTAAGCCCCTCGGCTTACAGAGAGAGGTCCCAAGTTGCCTCAGCCATGCCTCTGTACGTGTTGCCCTGGGGACAGGCACGGGGTAAGGTCCCCCAATGAGTCCAGTCACCTTTTTCCCTGGGGAGTCTTTCTCAATTGGGCGTGCTTGAGTTTTTCAAGGGGATCCTTTTTAGCTTGGCTCAAAAGGTCAAGTGACCTTAGGACGTCTTCTCGAAAAGCCATCCATCTCGAAGATTTGTCAGTGGGATGTGGCAGAGCCAGTCAGAACAAGGGGTTGGTTCCCACTTCTAACACCAGGGAACCTCCCCTGCAAAGAGAGAAATTTTCCTTTGTCCTTTGAGGGGCCTTCCATTAGTATCACAGAATTGGGAAACTCCCCCAATACTGGTTAGAAGCGCAGCAAGGATCTTGCTTTTGTCTCTGAGGCACTTTACTTCCTGCTACACTCTCCTGTCATCCACGCACGAGGGAGCAAGATCTGAACTTCCTCCCTCGCATGACATCTTGGTAACAAGACTGTGCAGCCTTGGCTTTCTCCAATGATTGAGAGAAGCCTGCTTAATTGGGCCGTGATCGCGAGGTTGCGATCATGCTGTGCCCCAAAAATGGGTGGTTGAAAGAACTGGCCGCCTGAGTCTTCTGCGTCAGGCTCCCTTAAAGTCACATCCTCAAAGTTACGCTCCAAACGGTAAAAGGGGAAACCACCCTCAAAGTTAATTTGGAGAACCCCCCAGAGTAATTTCGATCACCCCCAAGAATAATTTTGAGAAACTAAAACAAAGTTATCACTTTGAGGGACCACGTACCGCTCATACTTAGAGTCCACACTCAGAGCTTGTCCAGCTCCTCTTTCGCCTTGGTGTACATGGTGTACATAACCTGGAACTCATCTCTGCTGTCCTCCGGGATCTGTTGCTCCATCTCAAAAAGGCAGGGGGGGCTTCTGGGAAAATAATGTGCGAAAGTTTGGTCCATTTGCCCACGACACAACCGCGCTTGAAAACACAGCACACACCCTGTGGGGAGTTTGGCACCCCTGTTCCCGTTCCCAAGGCTTACTCAAGTCTGTGGGCATTCCACAAGGTTCCCCACATTTTCCAACCTGAAAGCATAGCCCAAACAAGAAAACTCACCGAAAACCAGCCCCCAGCAGGTGATGTTGCAAAGCACTCGGGCGAATTACAGCCGGAACCCCGGTGTGGCATTCCCGTCCTCTTCAGCTTCGGTTTACATTCATACCCCAAAAGTGAGTGTGTCCTAAAATAGGGGACCCTTAAAATTGCCAATCTTCCTTCCGTTTCCCTTTCAACCACCCCCAAAAGGGTACCATCAAAAGCAAAAAACAATAGCCACGCAAATTTGGGAGCTTCCTTTTGTTCCGCCCCCACAAAAAAAAGGAGAAAAAACAAAACACAAAACATCTCCCAAGTAGTTTGGGAGGAGACGGATTGGCATCCATGGCATCCATCCGTCCTCCGGGATCACGAACTCAAAGGTCTTCAGGGTGTTCACAGGGCCACCGCACCAGGGGAAGCACGGCTCCATGGCGTCTGGCGCGATCTCGCCCGCACGCTGCTCGAACTTCTCCAAGGACTTCTCTAAGACCGCCTAGGTTCCGACACTCGGGGGGCCCCAGACACGGAAAAACTGTTCTAAGGGTTGCTTCCCCGTTCTTTCCGGGGATCCGAGTCTTTCTAGAAAACCACCGACCAAAAACCAAAGGGAAAACAGCGGGTTTTTTGAAAAGAACGAGGGTCGAAAAGAATGGCGGAAATCCTGCAGTTGGTAGGAGATGTATCCCAAAGACTTACGTTTCATCCATCCCAAGTACTTGCAGGAGTCCGTCCACCCGCACAATAAGGCCCTTGCAAGACCCCCAAAGACCTCAAATGAGGTCTTGGGATGCTACAAAGGCGGCTTCTCACGATGGATTTCGGACCCTTGTTGGTTTTGAAGGGAACCAAAAGGAGACCGTTGCCATCAAAAAGGGGGATCCTTTCTTTTTAGCATCCCCGAGTTGTTTTGCCCTTGTGCACCACTAGGCAATTGTCACTAGTCACTGGGGCTGTGTTCTTTGGGGAGTGCTCGCAAGTGTGCAAAATGGTTGTGGCAAAAACTGAAATCCTGCGGGAACATAGCCTAAAACCTGAGTAGCCCCAGCTGTTGAATTGTTGAGCCACGCCCATATGGGAAGGCCCTTTATAGTCCTTGGCGCCTAGTCACCTTCAGCTGCAATGGCTCCGAAAAGCTCGGTATTTGACACTCGCTCCATCAGCCCAAGTTGGACCCTAGCGGTGCTCAGTTGCTCCCTTTCAAAGATGCCAAAAGGGCATATAAGAAGATTCTGACAACCCCCCCCTGTTCAAAGAGCTTCAGACCACAGTTGATACATCCTAAACATGTTCTGACATTCTGACATCCCTGACAACCTCGCCCCCCCCCACTTGTTCAAGCAAGTTCGGACCACAGCTGCACTCTATGTTTTCCTGGCCGTTGGAGCAGAATTTGGCGTTTTCCTTGCATTTGCTTAAGCCCCCTGAAAAACATACAAATATGTCCAGAAGTGAAAAAATGATTCCCTTTAAAACCAACCAGGGAAAACAAAACAAATATTATTAAGCAAACGGACGTTTCAGAAAAAGAACCAAAAAGCGTAACCACCCAGGGAAAACAAAAAAGTGATAAGCAAATGGCCGTTTCAGGAGAAAAAAAGAAAAAAAGAAGAAACAAAAAAACACATCGTCCCCCGCCTTCTGCGCGTCCACAGCGCCTTCCACCATGGAACTGACGGCGCCGGCGGTTTCCGAGATGGACTCGAGACCTTCTGCGGCGACCTCCGTGGAGATGTGCTCAACGCCCTCAATGCCCTCAGTGGCCACCTCCGGGGTACGATTCAACCCCGAGAAAGACAATATATATATATATATGTATGTATGTATATATATATATAAAGAAAGAAAAAAGGAAAAACAGAAAGGCGCAAGAAGAAGAAAACAAAACATGGCTTTCACACCGAAGACTTCACTGAGATTGGTGAGAAAAGGTCCGGATGTCGTTTATGTTTAACACTACTATCTTCCCAACAAGTTGACCGTCTAAGGGGAAGCGAGCCTATTGTTCTAGAAACACATTTGTTGTTGAATCAAGATGTGTTGGCTTCCCTTTAATTAAAGCAGACTTTGCCCGATCCTTCCCAGCTCAGAATTCAAGAGTTGGACTCCTTTTGGGCCCGTTCAGGCCAAGATCAGGTGGTTTAGCCACATGGGAATGTGCCGGAATAGGGAGTTGGACCCTTGTCCTGGTGGTTCCTCTGTTAAAACCAACCCAAAACCCCAAACCCAAAAGTGGGCACCCTCTAAAACGATACACCCACATTGCTATCCATAAAACCAGGTACTAGATCCACCCAGCTTCATAGATGGAAAATGGGACGCTGCTAGGGCACTCAGTTTGAGCCACGTGGGGGTGCCTTTTCGAGGGGACCTCCTAATACAAGTAAGGTCCGGCAGAGCCGGGGGGCGGAAGTTTCAAAGCAGTGAACAACTATAGTTTGGAGAACTGTCCTTGGCCCCTTGCTTCTCTCTCTCTCTGTCTTTTTCTCTCTTTCTCTCTTTCTCTCTTTCTCTTTCTCTTTCTCTTTCTCTTTCTGTTTCTCTGTCTCTTTCTCTCTCTTTCTATCTATCTCTCTAGCTATCTCTATATCAGTTTATTGATCTATCTATCTACCCATCTTTCTCTGCACTTAAAAGTTGCGATGTTCAATCCCCGAAAGTTGACTTCGCGTACTACTTTCGTACTTAAAAGTTGCGATTTTCGAGCCCCAGCTGCGAAACTGGACTTCACG